GAGAGCATACAAACACTAGCTTTAAAATCTCGCGCTGTCGCCCTGATCCTAGACGTGCTACTAGCACCCATCACACTCCACTTTCCTTGCGTCAGTGTTTCGCAAGACTCTCGTTGTGAAAGAGGAAGACAAATGCGAGAACAGGGTTCTATCTTTTAGCATTTCGCGTGTAGAACACGTGATTAGCATTACAGTCGCCCGATAGTACTGCTTGCAGCGGAACGGCTTAGTATTCTATTCTATCCTGTCCCCTGCAACGTGCACACGCAACGGCTCTTGAGCACGCAATTCAGCAACGAAGCTGCCCGCCGTACCCACATGCGCCAGGCGTCACACGGGCAACACGCGCGCTATCGGGCCGCGTTGCGCCGCGGCTATGGGGAGGCACGGTGGCGTCATGATGGCGGCGAGAGTGGCAATGGTGGCGCTGGTGGTGGCGCGATGCTGCATGCTCCTCGCACGCGCTGCTCCCGTGGTGGACGCCGAGAGTAAGCCGTTAAGCCGAGAGTAAGCGGTGTTGTGTGCCATCATACCACTCCGTGACCAGTTTGCTCATGTTAATCTCTCTACCCGCTCTCGCCTCTCCCCTTGGCATGGCATGCTGTATGGCATGGTTGGCATGGGTGGAATCATTCCATGATGGTATGGATGACATGGATGTATTTCAGTGGAAGCTTTGGAGAATATGATAGCACGCGAATGTAACGAGGTGAACGGTACGAGCACATGGAAGAGGGGGGAGGATTGCGACAGCATGGATGCCGTGGAGTGTGATGGCGATGGGCATGTCATTGCACTGTAAGCATGTCATTGGACTGTAAGCATGTCATTGCACTGTAAGCATGTCATTGCACTGTAAGCATGTCATTGCACTGTAAGCATGTCATTGCACTGTAAGCATGTCATTGCACTGTAAGCATGTCATTGCACTGTAAGCATGTCATTGCACTGTAAGCATGTCATTGCACTGTAAGCATGTCATTGCACTGTAAGCATGTCATTGCACTGTAAGCATGTCATTGCACTGTAAGCATGTCATTGCACTGTAAGCATTTCATTGCACTGTAAGCATGTCATTGCACTGTAAGCATGTCATTGCACTGTAAGCATGTCGTTGCACTGTAAGCATGTCGTTGCACTGTAAGCATGTCGTCGCACTAAGCATTTCATTGCACTGTAAGCATGTCATTGCACTGTAAGCATGTCATTGCACTGTAAGCATGTCATTGCACTGTAAGCATGTCACTGCACTGTACACCCGACATTGTTCCCTCGCCTCTGTTTCCATTTTCTTCACATATTTGAAACCAGTATTTCGTTCGACTTCAATCCTCCTTCCTTAAATACCATCCTTCTCCTTCCACAGATTCATCAGTGAATGCTCCCTTATCAGCCCCCTGCCCACGGCTCTCCTCGCATTGTCCCATCTCAAGGATCTGTGAGACTCCTGCTATGGCCCTCGTTCCATTCCCACTCCCCCCCACTTTCTCGAAGCCCCTTTGCTTGTAAATTTTTGTCCTTGCTTGCACTGACTTATCCTTGCTTGGACAGTCTTATTGTTGCTTGTTCTGTCTGTCTATGTCCATCCCATTTCCCTTACCCCTATCATCCCCATCCATCCATCCATCCGTCCACCCATGTTTCTTTCTCCTGCCTGCATTGCCTGCAGTGATATAGAGGGCAAATCTGCAATTCCCAGCAAAGAGGGCTGGGAAAACCTGCAGCAGCTCACTCGCCTGTGAGTGCGCTCATGGGGGGGGGGGATGCAGGTGGGGGGGGGGGGGATGCAGGTGGGGGAGGAGTGCATGGTAGGCGAATCGCAAGCTGAGAGGGTGAGAGAAAGGGTCTGGGGGTAAGTGAATGATCAAGGTGAGAGAATGGGTGCAAGGGATGGAGCAAGATGATGCCCACTCCATCATCAAGGACAGAGTTTGTTTCTCCACAGGGACTCTGTGTCAACTTCATGTCTGTCCATCTGAATGGGACAAGTGAATGATCTCAGGGGAGAAAATGAGGGCAGGGGATGGAGCAAAATGCTTCTTACATGGAGCAGCGGTTGTTCCTCCACAGGGACTCTGTGTCGACTCCATGTCCCAAGGGTCTGTCCATCTGGCCCCTCACACCCCATCGCCATGATCTCTGTGCTCCCACCTGGACTGGCTGCTGCTCCCCACTCCAATCCATCTCCTGCCACTCGATTCTTTCCTTCAGCCCCTTGTCAACAACCCCTTGTCAACAACCCCTTGTTAACCGACTTCTCTCCCCTGGAGCACCCTCCAGTATTGCTGAGCCCTACACATGCATGGTGTATCCATGGTGCTTTGATGGTGCAAGCAGGCGTTTGTTGCGCAACCATCTACTGGAGTCACTACCAGACGAGCTCTCCCAGCTGCAGAAGCTGCAGTCTCTGTAAGGCCGGGTGAGGGGCATGTGATGGCATGGGATGGGACGGGTTGGCATGGGAAACGGCATGGGATGGCATGGGTGGCATGGGATGGCATGTGATGGCATGGGATGGCATGAGATGGCAAGTGATGGCATGGGATGGCATGGGATGGGATGGGTTGGCATGGGAAATGTCATGGGTGGCATGGGATGGCATGTGATGGCATGTGATGGCATGGGATAGCATGTGATGGCATGTGATGGCATGTGATGGCATGGGATGGCATGTGATGGCATGTGATTGCATGTGATGGCACCCTACCTTATGTGCGAAGCCTGAAGGGCATGTGAGGCGTTGTGGATGGCACTTCAGCATGCTTCTTTCTTTTCCCATGTTTGCTCCTCTCATGACTGCTCCTACTCTCTTGACTGCGCGCATCGTCAGGCACTTGTTGAGGAATCGTGAACTGTCTGGGGAGCTGCCTGCGTGGATCTTCAGCCTCACAGACTTGACTTCACTGTGCGTGCTGCCATGCACCATCTGTAATGCACCATCTGCCATGCACCATCTGCCATGCACCATCTGCCATGCACCATCTTCCATGCACCATCTGCCATGCACCATCTGCCATGCACCATCTGCCATGCACCATCTGCCATGCACCATCTGCCATGCACCATCTGCCATGCACCATCCGCCACGCACCAAATGCCATGCCATGCACCAAATGCCATGCACCAAATGCCATGCACCAAACAAGCACCAAATGCCATGCACCAAACATGCACCAAATGCCATGCACCGAACCGAATGCCATGGAGCATCTTCCATATAATATGTGCCCTTGTCACCGTTTTCTTATCCCAACTTCCTTCTTTACACTTTCGATATTTCACTACACCATTCTAGTTCGCTAAAGGACTTCTTTCCTCTTCCCTGTTTCCGCCCAACCCTCTCCATGCACCAGTTGTATCAACTACAACAGCTTCTCAGGCTCCATTCCAGAGGCAATCAGCAGCCTCAAGCAGCTGCAGAAGTTGTGAGGGGTGGTGTATACACATGCACTGCTGGTGCTGCAAGCACTGCCAATGCACCAAACACTCACCAAATGCCATACACCAAATGCCATGCACAAAAAATGCACCAAATGCCATGCACAAAAAATGCACCAAATGCCATGCAGCAATTGCCATGCACCAAATGCCATGCACCATCTGCCATGCCATGCACCACGCTTGATCGAACATCTTTTTCCATAATATGGGCGCCCTTGTCACCTTTTTCTTATCCCAACGTCTTTCATTGCACTTTTAATAATCCATTACACCATTCTAGTTCGCTAAAATGCTTTTCTCCTCTTCCCTGTTTCTGCCCAACCCTCTCCATGCACCAGAATGATCAATGACAACAACTTTTCAGGCTCCATTCCAGAGGCAATAAGCAACCTCAAGAAGCTGCAGGACTTGTGAGTGGTGATGCATACACATGCCCTGCTGGTGCTGCAAGCCCCGCCAGCCAATGCATGCGAGACCACGTGTTATGATCCTTCCCGCACCCAGCCTCCACCGCTCCTCTCTGTGCCGCACTTCACCGCACTATGCCGCGACTGATCCAGACGCATTGGGGAGCGAATGCTATCAGGGTCCATCCCCAAGTCAATAGGAGTGCTCACCAACCCATACCTTCCCTTCCAGCCTTCCCTCTCCAGTGATTCCCCTCCCCTCTCTGCACTTCCCTTCTCCCTGTTTCCGCCCAAACCACTCCATGCACCAGGAATATAGCGAGAAACAACCTCACAGGCTCCATTCCAGAGGCAATCAGCAGCCTCAGTGAGCTAAGGCATTTGTGAGTGGTTATGTAGAGTCATGCACAGAAGACACATGCACTGCACTGCCAGGTATATCCATGTCTCTTACAACGACTTTCCAGGCTCCATTCCAGAGGCAATCAGCAGCCTCAGTGAGCTAGGGCATTTGTGAGTGGTCCATTGCAAGACACATGCACCGCACACGCATGCACCGCAGACACATGCACTGCACACACATGCATAGCAGTCACATGCGTGTGAGGCCATGCGTTATCAACCTTCCCACATCCAACCTCTACCAATCCCCTCCACCAACCCTCTTTATCCCACACGTCACCGCTCTGGGCCACACTTGACCGCAGATACCTCTTTGAGGGCAATCTGACAGGGCCCATCCCCGAGTCAATAGGAGCGCTCACCAACCTGCACGATCTGTAAGGAAGTGGGATGTGTGGGGGGATGACGGAAAGGTGGTGCTTTAACCAACCGACGCTAACCTGCTCATTTATTCACTCCTTTGCTGCCGTGGCTTGGCTTGGTTTGAATCAAGTTGCTCTAAGAGTGCATTCTGAGTCCTGCAAGCCATTTTTGCCTGATGCCACAACTCACTCACTCGGAAAGCATTGCAATGCGAGCGTCTTGAGAAGGAGCCGTGCCTGCCTCGTGCCTCGTGCCTCCTCTCCACGCCACTCCTTTGTCTAAAGCATTTTGTGCCATTGCAATGGCTCCAGTATGTAGGCATCTCCAAACTTGGAACTCTGCTCATGTTGCCACCCCGTGCCATGCCATGTCATCACATGCCATTCCATGGCATCACACGCCATCCTATGCCATCCCATACCATCCCATGCCAAAACATGCCATTTCATACCAACACACTGCAGGCAGGTGTGCAGTGACAGCCTGGGTGGCACCATTCCCGTCGCTATTGGCAACCTCACCGCACTCACCAACCTGTGCAGCCATTCTCCCGCCACCCCCCTCTCTCCCTTTCTCCCTCCACCCACCCCTCTTCCGTTCCCCCTCGACCCCTCCTCAGTCCAATTCCCCCTTCACCTCCCCTTTCCAATTCCCCCTCCAGTCGCCTCTCTCCAATTCTCCCTCCACCCCTCTCTCTCCAATTTTCCCTCTTCCCCCTTCTCTCCCATTCTCCCTCCACTCCCCCCTGTCCCGTTCTTCCTATGCCCTGGGTTTCCCTTCTCTGGTTATCAGGAAGAAATTACCAAGAGAATACATGACACCACCATATACATGAGTAGACAAATGGCTACACCATGTTACACGAAATGCTTGTCTGAAAACAAGAAAAGAAAAAAACTCAGAACTTCTCCCACCCATCCCCCACTTCAGCATTCCCCCTTCCGTTCTCTCTTATTATTGAATTCTCTCCCTGCCTTTCACCTCCCTGCGTTCAATGCCTCTCCTTCCCCGCTCATGCCTCCCTTCCCCCCTCCTTCCTCCCCACTGTTAGAACTGAGCTTAGAATCGATACATTAGTAATGAGCTTGAAGCTCTTTGAGTACAACCAGAATGAGCTAGGTATGGATAAGGAGGAAATCGGAGGCAATCCATAAAGATTGGGGGTAATCCCAAGGCAATCTCCAATTGGTGGGTTGGAGATTGCTTGGAGATCACATTTGGGTTTGGTTGGGATGTGGGTCTACACCCAACCAAACACAAAGTGTAAGCTGCACTAAACTAGGATATAAAAAGTACACGTACAAAAGGTGAGATTGAGGGCTAACACTAACACCCTCATCCTCTGGGTGCTCCAGGTTACTCGCTGGCAGCAGTCTCTCAGGCTCCATTCCAGAGGCAATCTGCAGCCTTGATCAGCTACAGGAGTTGTGAGTGGTGACGGGGGTTGTAGCTCATATTGTAGCTTGCGCGAACCTATGCCATGCCATGCCACCCATCCCATTCCACCCGAACCCATCCCATCCCATGCCATGCCATGCCATCCCATCTCTCTCCCTGCCCTCTTCTTCCCATTCTCTCTCCACATTATCGTTTCTCTGGTGTGATAGCAGTACATGATTTTTATGTCGGCTATAGGATAATAACTTATGTGAATGCTTTTATAAAACATTACGCCTTCCATAACACTACCATGTTAATGTGAATGCTCTGAATTGAGAAAGAGCATATCTGCAGTTCTTCTATCCATCCATCCATCCATCCATCCATCCATCCATCCATCCATCCATCCATCCATCCATCCATCCATCCATCCATCCATCCATCCATCCATCCATCCATCCATCCATCCATCCATCCATCCATCCATCCATCCATCCATCCATCCATGCATCTATCCATCCATCCATCCATCCATCCATCCATCCATCCATCCATCCATCCATCCATCCATCCATCCATCCATCCATCCATCCATCCATCCATCCATCCATCCATCCATCCATCCATCCATCCATCCATCCATCCATCCATCCATCCATCCATCCATCCATCCATCCATCCATCCATCCATCCATCCATCCATCCATCCATCCATCCATCCATCCATCCATCCATCCATCCATCCATCCATCCATCCATCCATCCATCCATCCATCCATCCATCCATCCATCCATCCATCCATCCATCCATCCATCCATCCATCCATCCATCCATCCATCCATCCATCCATCCATCCATCCATCCATCCATCCATCCATCCATCCATCCATCCATCCATCCATCCATCCATCCATCCATCCATCCATCCATCCATCCATCCATCCATCCATCCATCCATCCATCCATCCATCCATCCATCCATCCATCCATCCATCCATCCATCCATCCATCCATCCATCCATCCATCCATCCATCCATCCATCCATCCATCCATCCATCCATCCATCCATCCATCCATCCATCCATCCATCCATCCATCCATCCATCCATCCATCCATCCATCCATCCATCCATCCATCCATCCATCCATCCATGCATCCATCCATCCATCCATGCATCCATCCATCCATCCATCCATCCATCCATCCATCCATCCATCCATCCATCCATCCATCCATCCATCCATCCATCCATCCATCCATCCATCCATCCATCCATCCATCCATCCATCCATCCATCCATCCATCCATCCATCCATGCATCCATCCATCCATCCATCCATCCATCCATCCATCCATCCATCCATCCATCCATCCATCCATCCATCCATCCATCCATCCATCCATCCATCCATCCATCCATCCATCCATCCATCCATCCATCCATCCATCCATCCAGCCATCCATCCATCCATCCATCCATCCATCCATCCATCCATCCATCCATCCATCCATCCATCCATCCATCCATCCATCCATCCATCCATCCATCCATCCATCTGTCCGTCTATCCATCCATCCTCCACCACTTCAGCTTTCCCCCTTCCATCTTCTCAATCATGACTTCCCTTCCTGCCTTCTACCCCCCTTCCCCTCGCCAACCTTCCCCTCTCTGCGATGGCCCCTCCCTCATCATTCTCCAGAAACCTCAACGACAACGGTCTCTCAGGCTCCATTCCAGAGGCAATCAGCAGCCTCAAGCAGCTAAAAAGCTTGTCAGTGGTGATGGGGTAGGCATGCAAGGTGCTGTGGGATGATCAGGTGTGATAGCCTGAAAGGTCCCTCTCAGGGAGGGGATCAAAGGGTGATAGATAAGAGGAACGGCTGAGTGAGTGAGTGAGTGGAGGTATCCTTATGACCTTATGGCCTGACCGTCCATCCCATCACATCCCATCCCATGCCATCCCATGCCATCCCATGCCATCCCATGCCATCCCATGCCATCCCATGCCATCCCATGCCATCCCATGCCATCCGATCCCATCGCATCCTATCCCATCGCATCACGTGTTATGCCATGGCATGGCAGGGAGCTGAAGGACAACAGGCTGAGTGGCACCATTCCCTCCTGCATCTGCAACCTCACCGCACTCACCTTCCTGTGCGGCCCATTCTCCCTCCACACCCTCCCTCTCCACTTCTTCTTTCTACCGGCCTCTCTCTGCTGAGCATTGAAAGGGTGCCCCTCTCTGCCTTCTTCTCCTCTTTCCCTCTTCTCCTCCTCCTATCCTTCTCCTCTTCCCCTCTCCTCCTCTTTTCCTTTGACCCCCTACTTATTTTCCCCTCCCCTCTTCTCCTTTATCCCTCTCCCCCTGTTCTCATGTTTTCCTCCTCTTCTCTTCCCCTCTTCTGTTCTCCTCTTTTTCCCTTCGTCTCTCCGTCCATCCATCTTCATTCACCCACCTGTCTGCCTTCAGGGAACTAACCAACAACAGCCTTGCAGGGACGATACCTGCTGCAATCACCACGCTCACTCAACTTCAACACCTGTCAGTCACTCTTACCTCTCTAGCTGCCATCACCACACTGAAAGGTCATCTCTGAATGGTGGTGTGCTTGAGGAATCTTCTCAACAAACAACCTCGTTGGGTTACCAGTCACAGGTGAGAATGGCTGGATTTGAACCGCTGCAAGCCTACGAATAGTCTATGGCTTCACTGATTGGAACAACCAGAACGGCGAGCACAAATATCCAACAACTGTCACCACTACCCATCTCTTCTCTGTGAAACGCCAACTATAGTGCTCGCATCACCTTTCTGCCATTCACAAGTACCTCGTTTTCTGCCACCCACCCGTCCCTTCCTTTCTCCTGCCTGGCGGCTGCACATATAAGGTTGCCAACCTCGTCAGCCTTTTTCAATGAATGTCATCCACTCGCTTCCTCCCATTCTCCCTCTGCCATGACACCACTTACCCTCCCCTTCCCTCCCATGTCTACCATCGCTCCTGAGAGACCATCCTTCTCTTATCATGCCTTGATACGTTCGAATGGATTCCCCTCCTAATCGCCCTGTCCACACCCAAGAGATGATGCAAGGAATCAAAGGATAAGCCTGTCCCGCTGACCCCACACGGAGCCGTGTTTTGAGTCGACTCAAAACACTGATCCCACACAGAGCTCCCGTACAAGAATTGGATTCTACGACTGAGATCTCAGTCTCACACATAGCGTAGACCGGAACAAAGATCTAATTCGATACGCACATGCTAGTATGCAACTCATGTCCCATCACTCCCGTTTCCCTGGACTCCCTCTTTCCCCTCCCATCACTCCCTCATTCCCATCACTTATTCTTGGAGGGCACCTCTCCTCTTCTCTCCCCACTTCTTCCCCTCCCACCTTCCCATGGCATCACAGCGGCCTTGACAACAACCAGCTTACGGGGGAGCTGCCCTCCTTCCACCACATGCCCAATCTCACTGAGCCATACAGTCTACATGTTCACAACAACTACTTCACGACCACACCAGACCCTTCGGATACCCACATGTTGTGTCTGTTGCACCACAACTGCCTTCACGGCAGCACAACCGACTGCACCAGTTGGCAGGACCAGAGGCGAGCCAGCGAGTGCCGGGCGTTCTGTGGGGCGCAGCCGCTCACCCCGCCGTGCAGCGGCCATGGCGTGTGCTTCATTGAGCCTGATTCCTCTCGCGACATGACTGCCTGCTATGATGATGTTTATGACCCGCCGCCACCCTACTGTACACCTGAGGGCCAGTGCGTCTGTGATGAGGGGTACACACCAGGGACAAAGGCTGGCACGTGCGTCCCTCATGGTATGCCTGCTGCGGTATGCCTGTTATTGTTTTAACGTATGGATGCCGCTGAGTGCGCTCACAAGCTGAAGCCTGCTTTCTTCTTTTCTTCCTTTTTGGCGATAAGCTCTTCATTGCTGCATCTTGTCTTCCAAAGAATACTTGCCAACGTGCCTGCTTGCATGCCTGCATGCAATTCTAAAGGCTTGCAGACCCGACTCGTTTCACTGGCCTGGGGAACAGAGCCTGTGGGCCTTGGGGGAGTGGCGGCGCCACCAGAGCTTGCTGTTATCTGCCCGCCCTTGGCTTGGGAGAGTGGTAGTGCCGCCACTCGTGCTCAGAAGCCCAACTTGTTTCGCTCCACTCCACTGCCCACACTGGGTCAGCAGCGTCGTGTGTGCTCGTGCGTCTGTGCACCTGCACCGCCAGTCGAGTTCCCCTCGTGACTGCACACATCATCTCCTCCCTCTCATCCCGCTCCCTCATCGACTATGCCCAGCACCAACTCGCTCCACTCTCTCTTTCCACACCCCACCATGTGACTTACCAGGCGCGTTTTGAGTCGACTCAAAACACACCTGACTGCACACATCACCTGCTCCCACTCATCCCGCTCCCTCATCCACTATGCCCAGCACCAACTCTCTCCCCCCTCTCTTTCCACAACCCACCATTTGAACCACCAGTCCCTGCAGTGGTGGGGATGGCTCCGTTTGCTCTCCAGATGCCTGGAAACCTGCTGCTGCTGCTGCTGCTGCTGCTGCCACTGGCGGTGCTGGTGCTGCTGGCCTTCTCACTGCCGCAGCTGCTGAGGCGCCTCAAGAATCGACCCCCCACACGCTACTTCTTTTCAAAGAGAGCCCTTGCTGCCCGGCAAGCTGCCATGGGTGTGGAGATTACTCGCTAGCGCCCCTCTTGTAAAGCGGGAATGTCACAGTGTTGGTAGCAAGATGTGCACCTTGAAATTATGACATTATATTATGTACGGTACTGTTTCTCTTGTGTACTCTCGATTTATCCCATCCTATTTGTCTGTCCACAAATTTCAACTCTTCATACTTGATGCCCCACAAACGTTTTTCCGACATTTGTGCTTCATGCTGTATAAAATCTTTGGTATGCTGCATAATCTTAGTATGATGAAATTCCTCTCTTACCATTATGCAAAAACGTGATTAGTCATAGTCTTTACCCACAAATTATACTAAACACCTTTTGTTGAAAGTGACTAAGAGTAAGGAATTTTCTCGGCATTCCTTACAGAGCCCGATTACATCGCGTACAGCAACAGCCGTTGTTCGCCCGTTACTGCTAACGGGACTTCGCCAACTTCGCGCGCACTGTTTTGCCAAACCTCGCACTGCTGGCCAGGGCCCTAGGTATCAGACTTTTTACGCTGATTCAGCGTTAGATCAGACTTTTTTTTCTTCACTCCTCTGAAGTCGAAGTTTTTTTATATGTATGTTGGCTGATTTTCCAGAGTATTTGTTTATGCCTTCTCTGTTTTTACAGCCTTAAAGTTTGAGTGTACGCTGTGCCTCAGCGTACTATCGGGGGTGCACTCTGAAACCGGGATTACGGGGATTCTGGCCAGCAAGGCGGTGTGTAGGTATAACACCGTCAATCATTGCCGGTAAATTGTATTTCCCCACCGCGGCACCGCTCTGTCGCGTTGGTACAGCAAAGATGCCAACAGCGACATTTCCAACCAATCGGGACTGTGCAGCAACCAGCGTTGGCAACATTCCTTGCCAACGCATAGCTCGCAGCGCGCTGCGCCACACACGACACCAGAACCATCCACCCCACCCCACCTGTGCTGCATACACGACCAGGTGACGTACATGCAGGGAGCAGTGAGGGTTTCATCTTGAGGAGGTCCTAAAAGGGGACCTCCTCAACTCACCCAACGTGACCGTTCTTACAATTCCCTCTGTCGCCTGGCTCTCCCTCAGATCTTTGCCATCCCCTGTTACTACTGCCTGATCCCTCGTGTCAGGCAGTTTCTCCCAACCTAGCAAAACACAGCTTGGCAAACTCAATGGCTGCCACGAACACTGCTGCAAATGAGCTGGACGACGACGACGACGATGTAGGTCGTCGCCGTCTAGGCGACATGGCGACGGGCCTCGACTTTCTGAAGTCGTCCTTAGCTACGCCTTGTGCACCGCCAGCGGCACCGTCTCTGCCCAGCACGAGTCACGCTCCAGAATCTGTGCACCTGGATTCTCTGCCCGAAGCCGCCACAGAACATGTGACAAACACGCCTCGGACGGAGCTACATGAGGTGTCCGACGAAACTCCATCCCGTCAAGCGCCACAACCGAAGTTGCGTTTACGGCAGGCAACCATTGCGTGGGGAACTCCACCACCTGCTTTGAGTGTTCATGCTCCTGTGGCGGAGGAATCACCCAATCAGGACAGCTCCAAACCCCGTCCCGAAAAAGTTGTGCTGAATTACGAAGAAGCGCACGACCGTTTCAAGTTGAGGTGGTGTACAGATTATCCATGGCTGATACTAACTATGACTGCTGCTGGTGCCCCCTCTTTTAAGTGCAGCATCTGCATGGAATTCGCGGGATTGGCAGGCAAATGTGGACGGCGTGGAGAAGGCGCTACCGATGTGCAGACGAAGGCCTTCAAGAAGCATGAGGGTACCTCGAAGCATCGGTTAGCATTGCAAAGGCAGGACGACCTGTTGCAGAAAGTGGAGGGACAACGCCGCATCGATCTACACCCCAAGGCGCAGGACAAGGAGATGGTCCAGATGTCGGCACTAGCGGAGTCGTTGTACTTCATGAGCAAGTGCAACGAGCCCATGGACTCATGGATCCGGCTCGTGCGCTACCTCGCAAAGAAAAAGGTGCCCGGGTTTCCGGAGAACGGTTACGGCACGTACTACAACACGTACGTGTTTCATGTGTTTCGTCATTTTTCAAAACATTGCCCTCACATTTGCATTTTGTTTGTCGCTCACTCCCGTGGTGTTTTTTCTATTACAGGTACGGCTTTGGTGAGCTGACTCAAGCAATCGCGACTTGGCTCCAAACAACGCAGTTGGAGCATCTTCTAACGAGTCCCTTGATCGGGATCACGCTGGATGAGAGCACCGATCGGCGACGTGGCAAACACATGATTGTGTTTGCCACCTTCATCCGCGATGGCGTTGTCGTCACCGAGTTCCTCGCACATCTCACAGTTGAGAAGGCAGACGCCGCATCCCTTTCAGGCCTCCTCCTTTCCCACCTCAGGGCTGTCGGCGTGGACCTCCGCCGAATATCGGGCATGAGCACAGACGGGGCGATGGTCATGGTGGGGCAGCATACAGGAGTGGTTGCATGCATCCGAATGCTCATCCCCAACCTCGTCTCGTTCCACTGCATCGCACACCGGTACGCCTGGCTCTGCAATTTTAACAGCATGTTTAAGGTAGTGTTTTTATTTACCTATATAATCTTGTGTGAGTTGTGTTGCTTGCAGAGAAGCATTGGCTGCAAAAGCTGCAGCAGAGGAGATCCCCACCTTCAACATGGTCGACGACGTCATCCGCGCCGTCGCGGAGTACCTTGGGCGTTCGGGTCCTTGGCACCAACGCTTCATGGAGCTCCAAGAGGTCTTCACATCCACGAACCTCGAGGTGCAAGGCATACACGAGGTTTGATGGCTGTCGCGGGGTGCTGCAGTGCCGCGCTTCATCAAAGTCATGCCCGCCATTATTGTGATGCTGTCCGAGTGGAAGGACCAAACGATGTACGAGTTGGTAACTTCGTATCGTTTCCAGTTCCTTGTGAGGTTTCTAGCGGACGTGGTGGATCTGCTGGACGTCCTCTCTAAGGTTTTCCAGCATCGAGAGGTAAGTAACGGTTCATTTGTTTTCCTGATTATTGTTTTCCTTAAGTACTGGTACTAACAACCAGTGTGATTCGTGTGTGGCAGCTCGACTACCCACTTGTGCACACGCAGATCGTGCGCACAACCTCTCTCCTGGAGAGCCGCTACATCGACTATGGCGATGATTTCGGCGGCGGCACCAGCGAGCATCTGTATCGGTTCATCGCCAAGCACAGGCCACAAGGGTCGCTGCAGATGGTGGTGGAAGGTGCCTCGTCGGACGGCAGCACGAACCGCTTCTGTTTCGACCTTCACGAGCGCAAAAACAAGGACTACCCTGGACCCGGCCATCATGACGCCTGTGTCGCACTCTGCACCGACATGGCCGAGCTGCTTGTCAACAATCTCCAGTCAAAGCTTGGTGACCTCGACTCGCTGGCTGGAGTGCGCCTTTTCATCCCGGACATGTGGCCACCGAACTGAGATCGGCAGGCTAGGCAGGCTCAGTGTCAGGAGTGGCTGTTGTCGCTTGCCACTCTGTTTCACGTCGATGACTCGCCCGAGATTCTGCCAGGTTAGTATCTGCTTGGTCATTCGATGAACACGTTTGACACTTGCCCTCTCGTATTAAACTAATACCCTCCCCATTGTTACTTATATCACAGGCATTGACAAAAAGCAGGCGGTCAAAGAGTTGATGACTCTTTGCCCGGTCTTGGCTAGAGCTCCAAAGATCGAGAGGAAGTTCCATTCGGGACTGGCAGCCATCCTCAAGACTCCCGATTGGCAGCAGGCATACCCCAACCTTGTCAACCTCTGGGTGGCGGTAGCAGTGTTGCCTCTCAGCACTGTTGAGTGTGAGAGAGGCTTCTCTCGACAGAACCTCATCAAAACGTGGCAAAGAGGCAGTATCAAGGACTGCAGGCTAAGTGATTTGTTGTGCATGTCATTACTAGACTACGAGCTAGATTTGCCAGGAGTAGTTAAAGTGTGGCGCAGCTACAAGAAGCGCCGTCCAGTCACAGCACCTGCTTCAAGACACAGGGACCCTCCAAGAGCTGGCAAGGAGCATGTAGAGGAGGAGCCAGTAGCTGATCGTGCCCCTGTAGAACGTTATCAGTCAGACTCTGATTCAGATATGTGAATGTGAGGGAATGTTTATAACAGAGGGTTTTACATTCCTGCATGATCAGTCAGAAATTTCAAGATAACGCTGTTTGTTCAGCCTTGGAAAGTTGTGTGTCTCTGAATCTCCAGCCTAAAATTTTGAAGCAACACTGACAGACAGGGTACTAGGAGGGATGCACGCTGTACCGTCAGCGTGCCTCAAAACGAATCTAGGGGCCTGCTGCTGGCCCGGCCGTGTCGGCCTACGCTTCGGGACTAGCCCGAGCCTCGCTGCCAGCGTAGCACTAGCTAGCTCGCACGCACCACGTTACCGTTTGCATGTTCGCGTATAAATGTTCGCTCATGCCTTCGCTCACATCTTTGTTCTCGTTTTGACACCTTAGTGCAATTCTCGCTACTTCGATTCATTGCACGCGTAAGACTTGGTATTCAGAGCCCCTTTCTTTCGGACCGCGCATCTCTGCACCCTAGGAAATCAGCTTTTGATTTTTCACTCGAAGGGACCCACGCACCTTAGCACCTAGGAGCCGCTGTCCTCGCGTTCTCTCGTAAACGCGTGCAGCCACGAATGCGCCTAGACTAAGACGAGCCGACACCCTTCGAAATGGCCGAGCACATTGATATCACGATGCTCACGCAGGAGCACTTGAACGATCTGCTGCGGCAAATCCGCGAGAGCGCCGAGGAAATCGCGACGCTGACGGCAAAACGCTCGTCCCTGCAAAATGACCTCACACGAGCACAACAGGCACAATCTCAAGCACCTGGTACTCCGGAACAGCCCGCACCACAGGCACCACAACACGGAAGCATAGGGCAACCCGCGAGCGCGGCCATTGATGGCGTCGCCCGCCCCGACGGAGACGACGACCACGGCACGACACACCCCGAAGCGATGAATGCGGCCCGAAGCCAGCCACGCGTCACAATCTCGGCACCAACCGACGG